GTAAATGAGCGAACTTCGAATTTTACAACTTTAGAGAGTAAGTAAATGAGCGACCACTTGTTAGAATGTAAATATTGGAAATATTTATTCTCCTTTCTCCGCATCACATAAAAATACATAAAATTACATGTGCATAAAAATTAATACGAAATTTTTAATGCTGATGAAATGAAAAATTACACGGTATAACCGCATTTGGAAAACATCTAATTTTTACATGACATATAGAATCGAATCGACAAAAGCATTCAAATTTTTGTAATTCTCAATAATAGAAAATTGATTACCCACTGCATTAATATTATTTAATTTTAGTATTATAAATAAAAATACTATTTTAATATTAATTTATTTGAATGTGGTGTTTTCGTAACAGACCATTCAGACTTTCTGATATGGATGGCAGACGGTATAAAAAAAAATCCGTACTGAAACATTCGCATCGGGCCATGGCAATACTCACCTGATACTTCATTTAATGTTCCGAAATAAGAAAACTTGGACTTGAGCTCCTGGAGAGATGGTCAATTTTTTATTTTAAACATTTTTTGGTCGAATAAAATTATCAAACATAAAACTTGATCATTATATATCATAGCATCCGTTAGGGCTTTTGTCTTTAAAATTTCAGGAAGAGCAAAACACATTATTATTCGAGTTGATGTGGCATTACAGACTAACCTATATGCGGCCGGAATTGAATGATTAAAAGTACTGCCTACCGATGAACGTTATTTTGAATACTAAATATTGTATCGTACCATATTACGACACAAGTGATTTTACTTCCTGCTCTCGCGTCTAATCTCAGCGAATAGCATTGTGGAATAATGTTTAAGATTAACAAATTTCAGATGTATTATTGGTCATTTAATATTAGTTTGCAGAAAAAGAAATCCATTATTTTTTCGGTAGATGGCTGCACTGATAGATTTCTCGTAAAGTGTCGATCAAACAATTTCAGATTTATGCTCGTTGGAAAGGTGACATTTCGCAGTAAAAAAACTTCTTTTGCTGTTTTTTCTTTGGTGCATTCAGTTGTGAGTTACAGCGTGTTAAAAATGGAAGTGAACAAAGAGAAAATTCGGTACATTTTACAGTTTTTCTTTGACAAAGGCGAAAATGCAAGCCAGGCGGCTAAAATTGTGAATGGTGTTTATGGTTCCGATACTGTAACAGCCAATTATGTGCAATTTTGGTTTCGTAGATTCCGTTCAGGAATTTTTGGTGCTAAAGATGCACCACGCACAGGTAGGCCGATCGTCGAAAATGTCGATAAAATCGGAGAAATGATCGAAGTTGACCGGCATGTTAGCAGTCGTAACATCGCCCAGGAGCTAAAAATCGACCATAAAACAGTTTTAAACCATTTACACAAAGCTTCAAAAAGAAGTTCGATGTTTGGGTGCCACACCAATTACCAGAAAAAAACATGATGGACCGAATTTCCGTCTGCGAAGCCTTGGCTAAACGGAATGAGATAGACCCATTTCTTAAACGGATGGTGACTGGATGAGACGTGGATCACATACGATAACCCTGTGCGAAAACGATCGTGGTTAAAGAGCGGTGAAGCACCTCAAACGGTGGTCAAACCAGGACTAACGGCCAGGAAGGTTTTGCTATGCATTTGGTGGGACTGGAAGAGGATTATTTATTATGAGTTGCTTCCATATGGACAAACGCTAACTTCTGATCTCTACTGTCAACAAATGGACCGTTTGAAGATAGCGATTGACCAGAAACGGCCAGAATTGGCCAACAGGAGAGGTGTCGTGTTCCACCAGGACAACGCTAGGCCACATACATCTACAGTGACTCGCCAGAAACTTCGGGAGCTTGGTTGGGAAGTTTTAATGCATCCGCCATACAGTCCGGACTTGGCACCAAGCGATTATCATCTTTTTCTTGCATTGCAAAATTTCTTTAATGATAAAAAATTGGAATCTAGGGAGGATTGTGAAAATCAACTACTAGAGTTTTTTGCAAATAGAGACCAGGACTTCTATGAGAGAGGCATTTTGAAGTTACCTTTAAAATGGCAACAAATCGTACAACAAAACGGTGCATATTTGACCCAAATTGGACAATCCGAAGCATGTTAAATAAAATCCTGAAGGTCATATAAAAATAATGGATTTCTTTTTCCCCAAACTAATATGTAAGCTATTGGCCATTGAAGATTCTGTAGCTCGTGCTCACGCATACAATTCCCTAAGTAAGCAATGTTTTTTTGACAAATAACCACACACGCACACATCAGGCGCATACAAGTATGATCTTATAAACAAGAGGAAGAGAAGAAGAGACTATTACTGTATGTATGTAAAGCTTAGTTTTTGGCAAAACATTGGAAGGCACTTGCTTATACCGACGATAATACGATCATACGTTAAATATACCTGTACTCATCCGATCATCCGAAATTATAAAACGTCGGCCGTGGTTAATATCTAGATGGGGGAGGCAGCTTGGGAACGCCGCGTGGCAAATAATTTTATTTCTTTTTCTATATTAACTTTTTCACATTTTCTTTTTTATTCATAATTTCTTTCTCGACTAATTCGTTTAAGCGAATAAGTGAAAAAATTTAAAAAAATTCACATGACACGCTACCTGCAAACCAGGACTTTGATTAACATTGTCTTGCTTTTTATTATATATAAATTTAAATTATGTTATTCTATATGATTGATATCTTATTTTAAAAAATAAAATAAAGAAAGTTTCGTATAACACGATTTCAATATAGTACGATACGAATTAAGCCTTTTATCCCAGCGATATTACACAAGAAGATCTAGTAAATAATTTTTGGACTGCATATCGATGATTTCAGGTACAATGACAGGCGTATCTTTTTTTATAATTATTTCAATAAAACTTGTAAGGAAGTGATATGGGAAAAAAAAGACATCCACGTAATATGTGTACCTGGATGGTTCTTTATTTGAGAAAAAGAAGGATATTATTCTTCTTACTATCGCACGAAAAACTTGGTTAAAAATCGTAGGAGTTCGTGTCATCATCTTCTTTAGATTGCTTGAAGATTAATTTATAAATAACGGCAGCTACCACGCTGCCAACAAGGGGACCAATCCAATAAACCCAATGATTTTCCCAAACGTCGTGAACTACGGCTGGACCGAATGAGCGTGCTGGGTTCATGCTGGCTCCAGTTAATTTAATCTTTAAAAAAGCAAAAATTGTTAAATAAAAAAATTTTGGTTTAACTCAGTGTTTAAATTTACCGCACAAAGATGACCCGTAGCGATAGCCAGCCCTACGGCCAATGGGGCTGATCCCGTTATATCTTGCCGTTTTGAATCTGACACTGCTTTCACTACCAGCACTAAGATAGCTGTAATGAAGGCTTCAATTGACACTGCCTGTCCAGCACTGAGCGAGGAAAAGTTAGAGACGCCCAGGCCATTACTGCCAAGTGTGTCAGGGATAGCTAGCTGGATAGTGTACGAACCAATATTAATTTTTGGAAGCTTGAATGAGTATTGCGTTTACATACACTCAAAACCGCCGATCCAGCCATTGCTCCGACGCACTGTGCTATTATGTAAAAAATAGCTTTTAGTAAAGTCATCTCTCCTACTATCAAGAAACCGACTGTAACAGCAGGATTTATGTGACATCCACTTATATGACCGACCGTCTTTGCATTGCAAGGTTAAAGAAACCCTAATATATTGTAATGGTTCGCTTTATAGTGCGTTATGTAACTGACCTGTGCAAGCGTTGCCACAGTTAAACCAAATGTGAATGCTATTTGAGGCACGCTGGGGGACCAGTCCGCACCACTCGTGCAACTGCCTATACCAATGATAACCAGTAAGAATGTCCCCGCAAGCTCAGCAAATAGCATTCGCCATATTTTCCTATTCTGCGTAAATTCGGAAATTCCTATAAATTTTGACATGTCTGGAAAACAAAAATTATATTAGATTTTTAGGTTATATATGTAAACACTTATTAATGCATAAATAGCATACAATGTCGAAAAGAAACTTTTGAATAAGATGGAAAAACTTGGCAAAACGTATCTTAGAAGTTAAAAGAATAACTAAGATAACAAAACTTGGGGCTCGTAATTTTATGTTCGACTGGGCAGTGTCCTTAAATTAGTTGGTCTTGGTGTTTCAAAACCCCTTCTGGAAAATTGTAGAGATTGTATATAAAGCTGGAAATCGAGAATGAAATAACTTTCAGGTGGTTCCAACACAAAATCAACGACGCTACGTCTACGATGGTTCGACGATTTTATTTCAAAATCTTTCTGTTGAACATGTACTAGTTTGACCCTACGGAAAATTATAATTTTTAAAAACGCCTTGGAAACGATAAATATCGATTCCTGTCAACATATGCCTCGAAATCAATGACATTTTCGTTACCTCGAGCATTTCTTTGCTTTGTTGCTATACGAACAACGAAATTATCGAAAAGCGAACACAAGAGGACGCAAATTGGCCAAAGTGAACGAGATGTTGTAATATATGCGAGCGATTACTTTAATAAGAAATTTTTTAATCTCTAAACGCTGCCGAAAAGTACATACATTTCTGTGGAATACTTGTATAGTTCACGGAAAACAACCAGCAAAAGTACACCGATCCTCCCTGCAACGAAAACTCCTCTATATTTAATTTTCGATACAAAAAACCTTTTTACGATTAATAATAGTTGTGAACGCAGTTGAAAAGTTCAAAATTAGTGCGTATCCAACCAAGAATGCTTTCAAAAAGTACAAAACTTTCTTATTTGCTCTTAGGGAAAATTTTGAATCGTAAGCTTTGTACATTGTAGCGCAGCAGGTGTACCACAAAATTTACGGTGCAGCGTTATGTAAGCTATTATGCCTTTGATATACGTTAAAGTAAGTCTTACGTACGTAAAATTGCGTAGCATATAACAAGAAAACGGACAGATTATTACAAAAACGAAAAACGCTCTTCAACTTTTTCCGTGATTGACCGATGACTATCGGTTCGCTGTAGCTGGTTTTTAAGTTGAACAATTCGAACTTAAGACATTGCATGGAATTTTGTTACTAATTTCCTCAATTTTCAAATTGTTATCCCGTTAAGCATATTATGCCTTTTTTGAGGTTTGACTAAATAGGGCTTTGTGTCAACGCTTTATATAGCCGTTTAAATGCGATGGGCGAACGAAATATAATGTCGGAAGCACAAAAACCCAGTTGCAAGTTAAGAGAATCATTAAGATTGACGCCGAATACCTTTTGCGCCTTCATTTTATGCATGTGTAGTGTATAATGAGGGATTCAAAACCAACGGACTTATCACTGGGGACGTTATCAACTACTTGTAATGAAGTTGAGTGAAGAATTGACCCAAAAACGGCTACGACATTAAGAGGCTTGTATTGCAGAAATCGTTCAGAACAGATTAGCTGCACTGCAATGGATAATATTACCGATCCGGCTCTACTTACCATGCATGGATACGATTTACTTCAGATCTTAGAATTGCTGCTACACGTATTAAGACAACAAGATCAAAAGGTCAATTTTTGTTTTAGCATTTAACACTTGCTCTGCTATATAGGTGGGAAAATAGATAGCTAATGATTGAGTTTAAATTAGATCTTTCTTGTTATTTTATTTATTTTTGTTTTCTTCACAGAAAGGCAGTGTACTAAAGGATGGACAGCCAGCAGATCAATATAGGCGTAATTATGCTGAGAAAAACCTAGACATCGTCCATACAATCAAAAGTGGATTAAAACCAGTAAACAACATATATTCGCCTTAAAGTAAGACTTCCATATCCATTAGCTCAATTTATCGTCAAGCTTGTTATGTAACTGGCGGTACACCCATCCTCTGTGGATGCGCACTAGGCGGGTCGTTTATGGTGCTTTTATCATCCTATGCGACGGTGGAGATTCGGCAGTACATAATCTACGGTGAACAAAACTAAGCCCACTCAAATTCTTATGTGGATCAAGAACACGTGAAGGTACTTAAAGAGTGTCTAAAAAGTATTTAGAGGAAAGTGACAAGTTTGGTTCTTTGTGGCTTTCTGAAAACTGAAACTCTGCGAAAGCTACCAGTAGGGCTCTAGTGAAAACATGTTTCAATCTTTGTAGATATCATTTGAATGTTCTAGCATGATATATAATAGTAACGTAAATTAATCTGAGCATACCTGCTTTCATTTTTAATCGATTATGTCGCTCACTTATAAACGGAGTGCAATGCTTAAACTGCTGTTTCCTTTGTGTTATTCCACTTAGGGCGTAACTTCATCCATTAGAGTAACAAAACACAGAATAAAACCGTTTTAAAAATACAATTTTGGAATTATCTTAACGCGTCAATAGAATGTTTTTATATTGCAATTTCGCGTGGCTATGTGTTAATGGAAGAAACATCCGAGACACTTAAGCATCTATACTCAAATAGTTAAATATAATTATTAATTAAATTGTATAAAAAATAAATTTACAATTTTTCATATTTTTTCTTTTCTTATCCTTTCTTTTTTCTTATTTCACTGTTAGCTTGAACGCTCTTTAAACTCAAATACGAATTGAATTCATTGTGCGGCTGCAATCTTCAGTAGAGCGTTGAAGTTTTCGCGAAAGCGAATACGATGATACGATGATATCACAGTGCAGTGTATATAGCAATTTCTCACCAAACAATTGAATCACTCACTGTCACTGTCACTACCGCTACTACTACCATTAAGCACTGTTGGTTAACGATATGGCCTCTTAATGTATTTTACAAAACATTTTAAATTATAATATGATAACAAAGATTTTGTCATTAGAACTCATTTATATGCCGACATTATTTATTTATATATGTATATGTGTAGCTGTTTGTATTTGTAGTAGCTTTGCAGTTATGTAAAATTTATTCATTCGTTTGTAACATTGTGACAATAAATTTATATCACTCTAACAGAATTTTAAGATCAGTTGCTGATCCGAAGACAAGATGTTACGAAACTTTTAAAAATTTTTTAATACTACTTACCGTAAGAGGTCTATCATGCTTTTTTAGCACAGTTAGGGATATAAAGCATTGCACATGGCAGTTTTAATATTGCCTTTGTTTACGTTCTTAAGGCAACCATGAAAATACTTGTACAAAAACGGAGCTAACAGAGCATTTTGCTAATGCTTTTATGCCCGTTAGTTAATGTCTAGCAACAATAACGAGAATTACTGTTTATTGATAAAACAATTTGTTTACGTTATCTCTTACTGATTACATTTATTTATATATGTACGTACTAAGTGAGAGTAGTCTATTAATCCCTAAAATACTTAAACTTCAAGTTAAGCAAATAAAATAATTTTTAAAGAGTTTCATAAACTAGATCATGTAATTGTGAAAAGGTTTTCACACTTCAATGTAATTCCTCTTACAAAGTAAATATTATTAAATAACAGACACTATTTTAAAGCAAACAATCAATATTATAGTTGGTCGGTCACCCCAGTGCATTGTTGTCCTTACAAGACCACGTCTACCGATATTTATACAATTAATATTTCATGTCCAATGTTCTTTTCTCAAATCCAATTTGCTTTTACTTTTGGAAAGCTTAAGCGTTGCTCATACTTAGCTGACGCGAATTTAAACAATGCAAGCTCTCTTCAACTTTGCAGCTTATATCCATGTCATTACAAATATACAACAACACTAAGAATATCAAGACTAGGTTAACAAAACGCGTGGCACGGAAAAAACGGTCAATATATACCGATAGAAACCGAAACTACAGTTTTCATTATACAAATCGCTAATTATACAGGCCGACAGGCAGGCAGAGAAACACCCTGAAAGAATGTAATTTATACCCAGAAACTGGGACAAGGTCAATACATTCAGGTTCAAATATTTACAGCAAATATCTCGCAGTTCCCGCTGTCCTGTTATACACTTCTCTCTAAACGCAGTTTATCCTTGAATCGTCGATTTCTTCGCCTGTCTCAACCACTGAAAGGCTATTTAGCATTCTTCGATTTCTAATAATTTTAAGTACATTCGGCAGATCGCAAAGTCATAACTAAACGTTTGAAGTCAGATTAGAAAGCAATTAAGAATTGCTTAAAACTGTCGCTTCAAATGATTTGGTTTCGATTGTTTTTGAAGGTTATTGTTAAGGTTTCTGAGGTGTTACTTTCACATTTCTTTCCATTTCTTTCACATCTCATCAAAATCCACGAATTGACTATACGGACTTTTTTTTCGAGGTTATGTTTTATTCGGGTTCTTCAAAATCGACGATTTCGCTATGGAACAGATCGCACCTTTCATCTAAAGTATGCACATTCTTCTACTTTCACTGGTTTCTTCCAGGTTGTATTTTACTTCCACTTTTCAAATCCACGATTTCTGTGGAACGCATTTTTTTTTTAAAATAAAGGAAGAGGGGCAATCGGGTCCCAACCCAAAATCCTAAGGGCAAACAGCAAGAATTGCTTTTGAACAGATTCAACTGAATTTACTTAGCAACTATATGAAGGAGACCACACAACAGAGGCATACTCAAGTATAGGTCTAACCAAACACATGTACAGCCTTTTCGTAATGTAGGGATCATCAAGCTCTTTGGACCACCTTTTTATAAAACCAAGCGCGGACCTAGCTTTGCTTAACGAGAGATCAATATGCAAATTGAAACGTAACCTGTAATCAGATGGAACGTCTAACCTGTGAACGATTCGACGTCTTCCAACTTGTGCGAATCAATGAAATACTGAGTAATGAACGACTTCCTTCTTGAGAAAGAAAGCTTCTTACATTTATTTAGATTTAGTTTCAGAAGATTGAAAGAGCACCACGCAACCAAATTATTCAAATCACTTTGAAGATGATGTGATTGCGATTCTACGGAAAAGGAAGAAAACAGTCTCACATCCTCAGCATACGTTAAGATCTCGCTGAATTTAATCACGGAGCTGCAGAACATACAGAATGCTTACCTGTAAAAGTGTTAAAAGCATCCATCACTAATATTAAAATAGTGCCTGCAGTAATACGAATAAAAGTCTTCATTTGAATGAAGTTCTGCTTTTGCTGTTATCGCACTTTCTCCCTAATCTTTAAAGATTTCTGTTCATTTGTTTAGTTCGCGTTTCTCGTTAGAAGTTGCTGATAAGCTTTTCCTTTGCTTTTATAAATATTTGCTTGGGGTTAACTTTTAAAACGACCGGAGTCAAAATTGGAGAGCTTATTGACTTTAAATCAAAGTAAGTAACAAAGTCGGAGTAAATTTTGTATATCCAGCATAAATCTATTGCAAATCATGAACGTGTCAAACTGCCGCACCCAACCCCATCTCTTCATGATCTTTCGAAATTAGTATTTGATAATCTTCTTCAGATATGCGTTCGTTGGTTATCGAGAGAGGTATACCGTATATGTATATGTGAAGTTTCAACTTTCTAACACAATTTTTGCTCCAGTAGAAATGGCAACAAGACCAGGATCAACAGACGGCCGCGACTAAATTAATTCAAAAAGAAATCAAGAACATTGCAAGCGGATCGTTGATATCACTTTATCCCTGCCTTAAAGTGTAGAGGATAAGAAAACTGAAGTCAGCTTTTACGCAGTCAAATCATCTGCCTATACGTACGGCTTTATACATTTCTTAATTAGTAACGTTATTATTGTTCGCGGAAAATATATACATTTACGTTTATACCTAAATATATAACACATGCGTTAATAAAAAAATGCTTGTTATAAAAAAATTAAAAGTATATTTAAATTGTTAACGTAACAATCATTAAATTCGAGTATATAAATAAATTATTCACATTCCTATACATATATATATATATATGCATGTATATTCTTTCACAAATGGACGCTGAAACACAAAAACTTATTTATGAATGTTTTTCTTGCACACATATTTATTTACACAAGTGTTGCAAAATTTTAATGTAAATACATTTCTTCAGATAATTTTTTCTCCTTCTATTGTGCTTTGCTGCTGATAAGGGAACAGTTAGGCATTTTATGTGTATTCAACGTTAATGATAAATAAAATGCAAACATCATAAACGAAAAACTATTAACTGTCTACCATATTTTGTTGTTGTTTTCTTTAATGACTCTTTATGTAAATATTGTGCATTAATATGTTAATTATTGCGTGCGCTTGGCAGGGCGAGCAAATGAGCAATGATTTTTTCTTGAAACATAGTGTTCTGTTCATGTTTAACAGTTTTGTGCTGGCGTATTTGAAACCAGTTTGCATATGTAATAGAATTTAGCATAAGATATTAATTGCACTAGCAGGGGAAAGCCAATCTCTGTGAAAACTATTTTTGCTTATTTTCGTTTTTTTAAAAAAACGCTATGTTCTCGTAAAGACTTTGTTTTATTTCTTTTGTTGCCTTAAAATTTATATTAAAGCAGGCGAGTTGAAAGATACCTGATATACGGCTAAAGCCAAGCGAAGAAATAATTGTGGAAAAAAGCAAATTCTCTGTGACTGCCTGAACTTAAACTTGGCTAGAAGTATTGCAATCGGCTACTTAACAGACTATCAACACAATATTTCACAATATATTCATTTTTCGAAACTATTACGCTCAATATGTAATGTACTTTTATAAATTAGAGCCGATAGCCTGTGTTGCTAGAGCTCAATGTTTTTTTTTTTAGTTTAAGTATTTAATTCATTAGTCTACGATTATAATAATAAAAACAGTAATAATCACTTTTAAAAAACAGATCGCCTCAGTTCTTACTTCTAACTTTCAGAGGGTTTTTGAATTTTCAAGGTCAGTTAATACCAATATGCATAATTTATTCTTTTTATATATATGTATGTTTTCATATGAAATTTTTTAATTTCCTTTATTTTACAAGTTAGCTTAGAATTAAACCGTGATAATTTTTACACAAAGTCCTCGCTAAATTCCATGTTGAAAGGCAAAACACAGAGTCGCTTATAATAAATAAACAAATTTCCAAAAATGGTTGAGTGCCCAACTAACATATTCTGTTAAAATCCATTGCAAAACAAAGGACCAACTCTGTTAAAATTGAAAAATTTTCTTTAAGTGGGAATAAACTGTAACAATGATAAATGCAAGTAACGCCATCTATGAATAATTGTCAACCAACTTAACTATGTTTTTATATTAAATATTATGTATGCATGCATATATTACATTATATTACATTAAGAAAATATATATATGTAAAGATTGCGATCTATTTTGTCAAAGTTAAAGGTCACATTGCCGGTTCGTTTTCGCATTATGAACTTAAATGGCTATAAGAAGTATTAGCGAACTTTATAAAATATATAGCTTCGTGAAAACTCTTGACGGATTATCCATATCCATCAATTTCCTAATGGGCCAACGAACATCTTCTTCCAAAAACAGCCGACGTACAACGGACGGATCAAATCATATCGGTACCGCTTGTACGTCATTCAACTCCTTTTGCATGAGTGTATTTCTACGGACAAAATATCTTTTGACGTATTAACCAGATCTTTAATATACCCGGTACAATACAATTTTTACAACTCTCTCCCTTGCTCACACAATTTCGGGTCATCAAATATTGTGAAAATTCAACTCTTCTTTGTTGGCCTGGACAAGCGTATACAATTATCAAGAATTTTGCATGTATTGTGTGATTTGAGAG